GGCAAGGTTGCTGAATAGCCTTGTGTGACCCAATTTTGCCTCCTAGTGGAGTAGAGTAAAATGCAGAATTTTCCTGTGGGCGTATGCACATTTCTCAGTAATTACACCTGCCACTCACTGAGTTCTTTTGGTGCTGACAGCCGCTCTTTGCAACCTACTCTGCCTTCCCACTCCCTGACTGAAAACTGGAGCAGAGGCTTTTATTTGTTCTTACCACTGGATAGAAAGCAGATTACTTAGTCTGACAAGATACGATTTTGCAGGATGACTCCATAGGGGAGCCACTGGTGAGATCAGAGGCCAAGTCATTTAGAATATGTCACCTTGTGCCCTGCACAGTCTCTGTAAGTGCATTTAGTCTATCCGATGGGAGCAGAGGGAAGGGCAGCAGATGTGAACGCTCATGTTTCCTGTCTCCATTCTCATTCCAAAGAGACCACATGGTTCTCCCCACAGTATGGTCATGTTTCTTGGAAAAACTAATCGAGATTTGCGGGAAAACTGATAATCAAATGCAGCAGTGGTCGTTCTGACTCCCACCCAGAGCATGGCCTGCTTCTGACCTCTTTTATAACAGGGGGAATGTGGCATAACTCAACTAACTGCAAAATGAAGTATGTATGAGGATATGGCTATGCTAAGGATGGCTATGCACAGCTTTAGAGATTGATATGCTGTGAGGGATTTTCAGTGAAACATTTTCCCAGTGTCTCTCCCTCCACTTTGGAGAAATATCACTGGGACAAATCTTGCAGCTTTTCCTCACATGCAGGACTGTAGTTTTATCATTAACCTCAGTGGAGCCAGGATTTCACTTTTAATTATCAATCAACTCCAATATTTATGGCTTGTTTTAAGTCATTCCTCAAACTCTCTCAAGGAGGGTTAGCAAACAAAGAGTGATTTAGCAATGACACCATGCTGCCTACTCTTAACCAAATCCATGAGGATTTAGCAATGAATACCAAGTTAACATAACAACCCACAGTGTACTGAATTCCGTCATTCACATGGCACTCTGATTCAGAGATCACTGGTTCAGTTTGGTTCGCAAAGATAATACTCTTTCCTCTGCCTTTTCTGCCATCTCACTGATGACTCAGGTCTTTCTACATTGGGAGAATTTCCTGATAGAACTATACCAGTATAATTATACCATTATAGTTATATCTGTACAACTTACCATGTAGACACTTTTATTTGGGATATCATTGTCTTTTCCCTTAATAACTTATACTGCTTTCAAAGTAACTCAAGCTAGCTCAGAAAAAGGCAGTCATGCTCAAATAGAATAGTCCACCCAGAGGGTTACATGTAGGTATAACTATAGCACTATACTTACACTGGTATACTTCTGCTAGTACAGGGGTGGCCAACCCATTACAGATAAAAAGCCAAAATAGTGGTGGATACAGCACAAAGAGCTGAGGGAAAGAAGTTGTTGAGCACAAAAACAAAAACAAACAAAAAAATAGCTGCCCCTTTAAGAGCTGCGTGTGGTCTAAGCAGGCTTTTGTCGGCCACAGCATCAGATATTGCTGCCCCAAGCAGTGCCCTGACCAGTCAAGGGAAAATGGTCAGAATTGGGGAATGCAGAACTGCCGTGGGTATGGGAGCCACAATTTTTCCTTTGAAGAGCTGCATGTGGCTTGCAAGCCATGGGTTGGCCACCCCTGTGCTAGTAAATCCCCTCATGTAGATTAATCCTCAGTTGTTCATTCACTCCATGTTACTCTCCACTCTTATGCCCTTCTTTCTCATCAAAATAATTCATCCTTTCACCTCTGCTCCCCGCTAGTGTCATGCTGCCAGAAGTGACTTGTGGCACTCAGGAGGCGCACCACCCCATCCATGCTGTTGCCAAAATTGTAATTGCTAAATAGGGTCCACCCTCATGTCCTCTCTATGCCCCTCTTTGTGGTTCTCCTGCACCTCCTACCCCTTCAAGCACCAGTTACCCATGCATGCCACTGAATACATCTGTGGGGAAATCCTGGGGCAATGTGGGTGTTGATTGGGTCCTACCCACTTATCCCTCTACTATCACTACAACTCAGTTGTTTCCCTTGTGTTCTGTTCATCTAAATTCCTTGCCAAACAGCTCCATTTCTCCAGCTGCATTGAGTCTTGCACCCACAACTCCAGCCTCTTTACCATACCTTTGGAATCCCCATCCGTTTCACCCCACCCTGCCTCTTGAGTAAGAATTCACTGACTGAGACTGTCCAGATCCATTGTAAGGTCTCTTCTCGCCTTCCTCCCTCCTTCTTTCTTTCTCTCTCTCTCTCACAAAAGCTACAGTGTATGTTGGTTTACTCTCTTCCCCTGAACTGTATCTGCTTCGTTGAGCTACACTCCTCCTGGCAACTAATTTCCATCACCACTGCCTCTCTGACCACCACTTCTTCTCCTTTCTTCCCTTCACCTCTCAGCTCATAGACTGCACTGCTTGCACCTGCTGCCCGAAGCCTGGCTGCTTTAGCTCTACACTGGATCCTTTCTGGTCCGTTTTCAGGTCTCCCCACACGCTACTGAAATTGCAAACACCGTCAGTTCATATGATTTCAGTGACTTAATTTAAAATCATTAAATGGATTTTGTTCCTTCTCGGATTTTCATAGAGGTGCTAGGCTGGGTATTTTGTGCTAGTTGCATTAGAGTCACTTAAGGGTATGTCTACACTTGCACCCTATTTTGAAATAGGGATGCAAATGAAGACATTTGAAATTGCAAATGAAGCCGGGATTTAAATATCCTGTGCTTCATTTGCATATTTGCATTATGACGCTATTTCGAAATAAAACATACTGTGTAGATGCTTTATTTCGAGAGAAAACCCTTCTCTCAAAATAACTGTTAAACCTCATTTTGTGAGGAATAAGGGTTATTTCGAGAGAAGGATTTTCTCTCAAAATAAAGCGTTTACACAGTGCATTTTATTTCTAAATAGCACTATTTTGAAATAGCGCCATAACGTGAATATGCAAATGAAGTGCGGGACATTTAAATCCCAGCTTCATCTGCAATTTTGAATGTCTTCATTTGCATACCTATTTCAAAATAGGGTGCAAGTGTAAACATACACTAAGTGATTTTTTTTTCTAAGCCCACACAGGGTCAAACACTGTTCACATTACTGGCTGCAGTGTAAGTGCTGCTGGGAATCAATTGACCAGGCTAGTTTAGCAGCAATCTTCATTGCTGATAAGTGTAATGTGAGCCCTCTGAAAAGAATTGCAAAAGTGCACGTTCTGTTAACTAAAGCTGTGCAAACCCTAAATAGGGAAACTTGATACCAGACAAAATTTGACTGGAGGCAGGGTTTTGTTCCCAGCCCAAGATCCTGCTCAAGTTTCGTTGTGACATTCGCTATCCTGAGTAGATTTAAGATGGAATGTCACCAAACTCCACTTTCATTGACCTTTGTTCAAAAATGAAACACAGGGTCCTGATCATGAAAATCCTTGACTCACTCAATTCCCATTCAAATCAAATGCTTCTCTTGACCACACAAAGCATTAACAATCTCTTTGTTAGTGCTTTCAGTCTTTAGATCCCTTTAGGAAGAAGGGTCAGTCTCACTATCCCTATTGTGTAGATAGGTAACTGAAAAATGACTTCTACAATGTCACACAACAAGCCAATGTCAGGAACAGGCCCTGTGACTTTAAGCCCTGCACTCTGTGTGCTGACCCAGGCTACCCCCTTCTTTAGAAATGGGCTCTAATTTTTAATTCAGGGCCTCTTTTATTTCATTGTACACAGTGGAATGTCAGTAATTTTAATGTGTGTCTTTTAAAGTCATGAATTGAATCAGTTAATGTTTGTATGGTTCTCAAATACTATAGAAATGAGCACCATAGAAAACAGCATGAATAAATAAATAAATTCTTTCTGGCTCTGATAGAATAATCTCTCTCACATACACTCTCACACACAGAGAGAGTTTATCTGTAAAGACAAAGTTGGGTTGAAGTATTTTGTAGTGGGTCTCATTCTTCAGATACACATGCACAAATTCACCAGACTTTAGTGAGCAGTGAACAGGGGAATTTTAGGATGGGACTTCTTAGGGTGGGGCCCATGTATCTTGATGGTGACAGATGTCACACTATATTTTAGTGTCACACTATATGTTTAGTGTCACTCTATAATTACACTGTATCTGAGGTCTTGCTTACTAGATAGTGTAGTAATTGGCAAATCATTCTTGAGAACTGACAACTTACTTTTTGACTATTAACAACATGCAAGGTGTGACAACAATAGAAAAGTAATAATTTCATGCAACAGGGCGTAAACTGATGGTGACTACATGCTAGGAAGCAGTTGACCTCCTGTTCCATGTTCAGCATCAGACAGTGTACTCGATAAATTTTAAGAGGTATTTACTTTCTTTCAAAGTGCTAAATGTGGGTAATTGACAGAGGCAATCAACTGCAATCTGTAATAACAAGAACCACTCCATGGTCACTTCTGACTCCAAACTAGTGCTCTATCATGAATCTTTTAAACTTCAAATAATTATATTTAGAATTGCTATTTTATATATAATGTTAAGATGCTCTATCAGTGACATTTTGCTGTTATATTAATAATTTAGCAGCTTGTAGTTGTTATGAATGATTACCACTTAATTTCTAGCTGTGCCTATAAATGGCTAGGTTTTCTGCAAACATAAAAGAAGGTGAAGTCCCTGCCCCAAAGACTTACGGTCTAAGGGACAGATTTCCTAAAGAGTTCATCATCTATTGTTCTCAACAAGAACTGATGAGTGCGACGTGCTTTTGGAAATCTGGCTAAAGCACTTATTTGTTTAAGGGTATGGATCTTTTTGGTCTAGAGGGCAGACAAAGGCTGGGGGAAACTTGTAAATCAGTGGTATAACTCCTTATTTATAGTGGAAATAATGCTGAGATCAGAATATGTTCCACAATATTTACCCTGGAAAAAAGCTTTTGATATTTCCTTTTCTCTAACTGATTTTTCCCCCTTTATAGAAATAGATGAGAAGAGAAAGAACAACTCACAAGGAGACGTAAGTTAGTTACATTTTTTTAAATAGTGGGCTATTGTTTAACAGCCATTTTGAAAATGTATTCATTCTTGTTTTGCTGGTTTATACGATTGTTTATACTATCAGGCTTCCTTAACTGACACAGCTTTTCGTGGATAAAGAGTATAAACAATCAGGCTTCCTTAACTGACACAGCTTTTCGTGGATAAAGCTTCTAGATAAATTACTTTGTACAAATACCTGTTACTCCTCTACTTTTCGTTATCTTCTCCATTAGTCTTTAGTCAGGTTAATGAGCACAGCAAATGCTATTTAGCAGTGCAGGGGAGATCAGGGTTTGCAAGTTTCCTTTCTAATTCTGTATTAGAGCCATAGCTAGTGCCCATTGAAATCAATTAGTTTTTTCCATTGACTTCAGTGGGTATTAGCTCAAGTATTAAGTTTGCAGTGAAGTCTAAGGTGAGTTCTTTCAATCCACCCCCCTGCTTCCCACCAACCCTTCTGGCTCCCCTGGATCTCTTTCTCTTGTGCTGGGGTTTTAAAAAAGCGAGCACTGCTTTAAATAGCAAAGGGCAGCATTGATTGCTTCTAAGATCTATATACAGATGTCTGAAGCTTGACTGTGGTGAGGATCAGCATCACGTCACACATTGAATGTAAATAGCTCTCTTTTAATACAACAAATATTTTATTCATAAACAACATCTTTCCATCCATTATGATACAGTAGGATAATAGTAATGGCATATACATTCCACAAGGCAAGAAATGTGTTCCCAGAACTGCAAATATCCCTGCTTCATTTTCCAAATTACACTGATGTTACCTATGCAAAAGCCTTCTCTGAGACAGTGTGCTGTAACACATATGAATCATATCCAAGATAACCATGCCACCATATTAGATAATAATTGTCTGGATTGTCTACCACTGACTGGAGCAGAGTTAATAGGGACCCAGAGGGAAATTAAGGCTATGTGAGCAATACAAGCCATTCTGGGAAAAGAAGCAATGTAGAAAAACTGAATAGCTTGATAAATAGCAGACTTGATTCCGTCCCCCGTCCCGGGGGCCAGGAAATGGTCTGCCATGGTTTGACTGTTTCCTTTTATGTCTATTAAACTTCTTTCTCTTATTTCTAGTCACAGAATGCCTCCCCTAAGCAGAGGAAGCAGAGCGTGTACACTCCTCCTGCCATCAAAGGTACTGTTCAGGTACTGTTTCTCGTTATGCTAATGCTTGTTTTGTTTCTGCCCACGAGTTTTCCACCATCTCCCTAGAATAAAACTCAACAACTAGATAAACAATGAGCACATTTGCCCAAGGATAACTCAAACTAGCAATGGTTGGTTGCTTTAATTCCTATCTACCTGTGCATCTTATCAACACATTTTCATACTGTGAATTAATTTCCCTCTACATTTTTTCTCTTGAAGGAAGTAGCCTAGCAGAACTGTTATAAAACAGTCATTACTTCTCAGCTTCTAGATGCTATCACTAGCCTATGGTAACACACAGGTAGCCAATTGTGCAGCTCAGTCTTTATGCAATTAGTCCTATTGCTTTGAATACAACTACTTGCATGAATGTTAGCAGGATGTGGCCCATACAGTTCATTCCTTTTTTTAAAGCATTTCTTTGTGTCGTTTCTTGCCTTTTGGGCAGCTACAAAAAAGAGGAAAGTTCAAATCTGAACACTGAGCATCTGCTCCCATAATGTCTAGAACTCTTAGGCTGATAACAATAAATGCTGAGAATTCTCAGCATTTCCCAGGAAGGGTTTGGCCAAGATCCTCTAATGTATTTAGGTGCCTACCTCTCATTGATTTCCACTGGAGTTAAATGCCTAAATAACTTTGTGGCTCTGAGCCTTTTCAGAATTTGGAGCTGAATATAAGCAAGAGGAGTGGAAGTGGTGATCGGGACTTTAGCCATGTTTCTGAAATGGGCTGAACAGTGCTTGTTGTTGGTCACATTTTCAGCTAAGTGTGTGCAAAACTGGTTCACTTGCACCATTGACACTTATTGTCAGCACTGGACAATTTTCATAGTGCAGGCGAGAGTCCATTCTTGCAAGCTGGAAAGTGTCTCCTGCCAGGTGTTGAGTGTCCTCAATTCTCGATTGCTTCTAATAAACATAAATGATCATGTAGTAAAGAAGCAGAATTAGTGTAAAGTTAGCACTATTTCCAGTTAAACTACTATATATAACCAGCCAATTAGCCCGTCATAAGACGCGATTTTCAGGTCTCCCCTCCACGTCGGTCTTCTCTCCTGAGCCTGCCTCTGCCTCTGCCTCTGCCTCTGCCTCTCACTCACTCACTCACTCACACCCTCCTGCCCCCCTTCACCTCCCACTGTAGTGCTCGGCTGACTTCTGCGCGCTCGGCTGACTTCTGCGCCGCTCAGCCGGGCCGCCGCGGGGGAGCAAGCAGTGCAAGCAGCCATTTGGGGTCCCCCATGGCAGCCTGGCTGGGCAGCGCAGAAGACAGCTGAGCACCACAGCAGGAGGTGAAGGGGGATGCGAAAGGGGGTGGGACGGTGATGTACATGGCCAGGCCCTGCCCCCTGGCCATGTACATCGCTCGGCTGACTTCTGCGCCGCTCAGCCGGGCCGCCGCGGGGGAGCAAGCAGTGCAAGCAGCCATTTGGGGTCCCCCATGGCAGCCTGGCTGGGCAGCGCAGAAGACAGCTGAGCACCACAGCAGGAGGTGAAGGGGGATGCGAAAGGGGGTGGGACGGTGATGTACATGGCCAGGCCCTGCCCCCTGGCCATGTACATCACCACACTGCCCCCCTTCGCCTCCCGCCGTGGCACTCAGCTGACTTCTGCACCGCTCAGTTGGGTCACCGCAGGGGAGCAAGCAGTGCAAGGGGCTGTTTGGGCCCCGTGTTCTCCATGCAACATGCTCTCCCGCGGTGGCCCGGTTGAGTGGTGCAGAAGTCAGTCGAGCGACATGGCAGGAGGCGAAGGGAGGTGGGGTGGTGACATACATGGCCAGGGGTGAGTCCTGGCTGTGTACGACACCTTCGGGGAACAGCCAGCATTTCAGTGTTAGAGTCACAGACATTGGACTACTATATATATGATTACAAAATGCCCTATGTTATCCCATGATAGTTTAGTCTATATGGGTATGTCTACCCTGCCACCCTAGTTTGAACTAGGGTGGTTAATGTAGTCATTCAAACTTGAAAATGAAGCCTGGGATTAAAATATCCCGGGCTTTATTTGCATGTTCGAGGGCGCCGCCATTTTTAAATGCCCGGTAGTTTGAACTCCCTGCCCACGGCTCATTGCAGGAGGAGTAACGGTAGTTCGAATTAGGAGCTTTAATTCGAACTACCTAGTCCATGACACCTGTAGCCGTGGGCAGGGAGTTCAAACTACCGGGCATTTAAAAATGGCGGCGCCCTCGAACATGCAAATAAAGCCCGGGATATTTTAATCCCAGGCTTCATTTTCAAGTTTGAATGACTACATTAACCACCCTAGTTCGAACTAGCATGGCTAGTGTAGACAGACCCTAACACAGGTACACATACTTTGTCCCATAATTTGAAACCTCCAGCTCTGCTGACAGTATCCATTATAATGCTCTCACCCAGATGTATGGGAATTGTGTACCACACTGGACTAATTATTTACTACTCCTGGGTAAAATTTCATTTATTACTGGATCTTAGAAATATATTGCTCTATCCAGTTATATTGATCTAAATCACACAGCTTTGGTATGGGAAGTAACAGTGGATAATAACTTACATATTGTTTGGCTATAGACCAAGTTCAAATTAAATATCATGAAAAAAATACTGGATATATACAAAATTTAAGTTTCTGTGTTTCCTCTTGATGATGATGTTTTTTCATGGGCCCACAAGCTTTACTCTCCTCTTAGAATATCAGGTAATGTTTAGGCTCTAGTGTTGCTTATAATTCTTTAGATTAGATGTAAGCATGGTTACTTTCTATTGAGAGCCTCACTGCAGAGTGACAGGCTTTCTAGTTAAAAATCACACCATTTTCTCAGAGGCTGAAGAGATCACAGCTGGGTTGAAATGGTTTGTAAATAAAACAAAGCAAAACACCACACTCCCCCAAAGTATCCCTACACACCATAGGCCAGATTCTGCTCCCTCTCACATCATTATGAACCTCAACAACTTCTCATGTAAATGGAATGCATTAATGTGAACTAGTAACCTTTTAGTTCACCCACATGATGTCTACACAGGGGAGTTACAGTGCAGCACTTTGGTATGCACTGCTATTCACACCCATATAGTCCAAAGTGTAGGACAGTATATAATCATAGAGCCATAAGATTAGAAGGGACTGACTGTCAGGGTCATCTAGTGTAACCCACTGCCAATGTAACCCACATACCTTCTGAGTGTGGTTCACTGTCCCATCTAATGGCACTTAGATCACCTACAGAGAGAGAGAAAGACTGAGTTTGCTGTACAGACTTACCTGAGAGCCAGCTGGTTTTTAGCTCAAGCAGTAGAGACCCATGCACTAAACTCTGGAGGTCCCTTCCATCTTCAGTTCTGCCTCTCGGCATTACACCAAAATGTAGGATTTGGTATATCTAAACATTCAAGACAGATGGCTATCTAGCCTCCTTTTGAAAACCTCCAGTGAAGGAGCTTCCACAACCTCTTTAGGCAGTCTTTTCCTCTGGCCTATGATTCTTACAGTTAGGATTTTTTCCCCCTGAAATTTAATCTAAATCTGCTGTGCTGTACTTTGAACCCGTTGCCTCTTGTCCTGTCCTCTGTGGCAAGAAAAAATAAATTTTCTCCATCTTTTTTTTAATGGCAGCCTGTCAAATATTAGAATCCTGCTATCATGTCCCTCCCTAATCTTCCTTTTCCAAACTAAATATACACAGTTCTTCAGCTTTTGCTCATGTGTGTTAGTTAGAATGCACCATAAACTTCCTCTTGATCTGGTGGTCTAAAATAGAGGCCCAGCCTAACATCACTATTACTCTTTTCTCTTTTTATCCTCACCCTAAACTCGCAGGAGATCTGCCACTGACTTCCTTTTAGACCTCAGAACAAGTGAAAACATTCTTGACATACAGAGAGATGCCTCTTCCTTTATTCCCATACCTATCCTGGAACAAGCTATATCCAAAGAAGAAAGTAAGCTGGTGTACTCCGGTGTGGTGCACCAGTAAGAAAGTGGCTGACGGGGGGAGGGTTTGGGATGCTACTGGCCACTGTATGCAGGTGAGGTTCCCATGCTGGCACTAGCATGGGTATCCCACCTTTCCCCTTCTGGCCCTACAGGAGCCTGGGCCTGAGCCAGCATCCACAGCACCTGGTCAGTACAGCCACAGTGCACCCAGCCTTCAGCCCTGGGGATCCAGCAGCAAGGCGGTGCAGTCGCTGCTATCCTGGCCAGTCCCAGAGATCTTGTGGCCAGGCAGCATGGTGGCCATACTCCCCACCCAGAGCCCCCACACCGCCTGCCCTGAGCCCTCCACCACCACAGTCCCCTACCCTTAGCCCTGCCCCTGACACCCAACCTCCTGCCTTGACTGTTGCACCCCCTGCTCCGAACCTGCCCCCCCCCACACTCCATCCCAAAATTTCTTACAGGTACTGTTGTATTGCAATCCTTCCCCAACTACCTGCCCTGCAATACAAAAGTTCTGAAGAAATTTAAGCTACTTTCACCACTGGATTCCCCAGGGTTGGTACTTCAATTTTGGAAGAAGTCATATTAAGTCAGGGCTGCCTAGGGGGAAGGGCAAAGGGGGCAGCTGGGGCTATTGGGGCAGCAGTGTTGGCTGAAGTCCTCGGCCTTTTATATTGCTGCTGGAGCCCCACATGGCATGGCCTGGGTGGCATTGAGGGCTAGCTGGGCAAGGTGACATGGGGACTGGGTGACATTGAAGGCTGGCTGCTCCTAGCCACATGATGTCCAGAGATGCCCTTCCCAAGATTTGATAGATGGAGCCCATCCGAGCACACTAATCCTCTTTCCTGGAACATTGTCTCATTGAAGAAGCCAAAGCCCTCTCACCAATACCACCTGTGTAGTCATGCTTTTACTTTCACAGTAGTCCCTGCCCAGGCCTTTTCTTTCAACAGGGAGGACAGATGAGAACACCACTCGTGTCCCAAATTCTGTTATCCTTCTGTTTTATCCTTCTTCTCAGAACCATGGAATCTGTAGTGATATGCTC